AATTGTGGGCTCCAGACGAGTGGCGCTCCATTCTGATCTTTGATTTTTTTCACTTACAGGAGGTTTCCGGTAGCCGGTCAGCTAGCACGCTTACTGCCAAGGCGATTGAGATCTACTACTCTATACTCAAGGGCATCTTTTGTTGTTCGACTGCTGAACNCCATTTCAACGGCTAAGCAGTTCGATAGTTCCAACTGTTTGACTTACGGAAATGAGTCATCTTCTATGTCGCTTCACGGATGAAAGACGGTCATTTGGAAAAGATCCACATCGGGGTTTCCATGCTGAGCTCATGGGAGCTTGTCTGTTACACCCGATAAGATTTTTGCGGTTCTAACAAGTTAGATGACGGTCTCTTCTGAGACGGAGATCCCAGGAGTGAGAAATCTCAGCGCAAATACCCATTCCATCCTCATGATCATCATCCTCAGCGTTATCTGTGCAGGCTATAACTTTCAGACTTCTGTCCATCGATGATGTGGGAAAACGGATGGGTGACTACGCATTTAAGACAGTACTTAATATAATTGAGGCTTGAATCCAGAAGTGACGATTTTTCACTGGGAAGGTCGGAGGAAAGCTTGAATAGTTGAATATATTCATGTCATTGATCGCGTCACCGGGCGTGATTCTAACTACTGTGTCTCGTCTCTGAGTCCTCGTCCAGGGAAACGTCAATGGCCAACACATATTTGCTGGCGATAGCTCCCATACGTCGCTACCAAGTCATTACCTGGCCTCCTATGGAACATTTTTGTACCCTACAGAAGACTCTACGAGGAAGTCGACCAATTGACATGCGGAGTACCGCAATGACCAGCGCAGCTGGGCTTGCTGGTAACGTTTCACACTTCACTGTCAAGTCATTGTTTGATCTCCCATGGCTCGTTTCCACCCTTCACGTGGTTGTGCGAAAAGAACCCTTCGAGGAAGTCGGTCGACTGGCATATGGAGCACGTGGCCCAGCCAGCCCAACGTATGGAGTGTGGTCAGTTCATCCGTTTGAGACTAGTTATTTCTTCCGGAAACAACTCGACGTACTTCAGCATTAGTGATCCGCTGCTCCCACCAGGCTTGAGCGATGCTCTGTAGACGCCGGTCAGACAGTTTTTCGGTAGTCAGCGCCGCCAGGTTTACGGTCCTTATAGCAATATGGAGCGCACCGCAGCATTGTAAACCTGATCTTTGCCACAGATAGTGCAGATTTCGGCCTTCCCAATCCAGGTGGAAATACTGCCCCTGGCTAGACCATCGGGATTCAGCCAACCGGGTAGATAAATTTGCCTACTATCCCAATCGGCCTATGTGCAAGCATGAGGCTCGAGGTCACCCAGTCTTGCAGCAGCAGGTGTGAAGCACATGCCAAACCAAGAGGCAGAATATTAACGGGGCAAGGTGGCTGGATGATCGGAGCGCGAATTCACTGATCGGGAGATCCGTGGTTCCAACCCGACCCCTGCATCTCGACTTTTGTCTAGGCTTAGGCAAACTGGAAGTATCCATCCGTCATACTTCCTTCAGGTTGCATGGCACCTAGGCACTGAAGGGGTGTTACATCTGAACGATTTTGTAAAAGATTATTTAACACTTTCATAAAGGAAACTCTTCGTTGAAGAGTTTTCAGCAATCTTGTGAATGGTTTCCTTTATGAAAATATTCTGCGACATCTCGAATATCGTACCAACTGAAACATGAGGTGGCCAGCGTGTAGCACATTCAGTTAAAGAACAGTATAAACGAGAGATTCACTTGAGTCTCTCGTGAAAACCAAATTGATTTGCAAATGAGTGTATTTGACGCAATTATTTAACACTGGTAGGATTACGACAGTAATCCAAACAGGTCCAAAAACAGATATATCCTCTGCGTATGTGATATCTCTGAACGAACGCCATGAGAGGAATTCGACCACACTGGCAGTAGACATTGGAGTGAGTCTTCCATGGTAATATCAACGACGAATTGGAGGAAGTGTGAACGGGACAGACTCGCCAAAACCACCTGATGTAGTGGATTCAGATGAGAGCTTCCGGCATATAAGAAATTTGGTGTAGATTGCTTTAAAGGGGGTCAAGAATTTGTCAGAAAAACCTGTCTTATGGACCACTTCTCAGTGTTCGATGATCAGCGGAGCCAAAGGCATCCTTTAAGTCATAATTTTTGGCTGCTAAAAGCAGTGTCGCTGTTTCGGGACCCCGGCGAATAGTGAACATGTGGTCGATGCATACCAGTGCAGGACGAAAACCAACTTGATTTTTACGGATACGCTCTCTCCATGAGTTCAGTCATCGTTCGAAGGATGTGAACAGGGAACGTCTTAGATATCAGGTTAGTGCCATGGCCATTCTCAGTTCGCCCGCCTTTTCTGAAGACCGCGGTGATTCTTCATGTACCCCATTTCGGTCACCTACTCCACACAGCATCGATAAGTTTTGTCACGGGGATGACCAGAGATTCTCCGCCATTTAAGAGGGCAGTATAGGAACTATCCAGCCCCGGTGCCTTCTCGCGTTTTGGAGCGCATATGCAGCACTTCCAAACGGCAGTTATGTTTTATACACCATTCGCCCGCATGCACTGTTTCTAGGTGCTGTTTAAAGAGGCCAGCTTAACTGTTGTTCGAGTTGCACGAGACGCCTTTCCGAACGAATTACTGGGCTGTTTTTTTTCAATTGTCATTTCACTGACTTCTCCCTTGGTTTGACCAGTTGATTGAATTAGGTAGTATAAGTGTCCACTCCACTCAGACCGGATTATACTAACCAGGCGCAGGCTTCCGCACCAGTCAGCTGACCCATCTTCTGAGTAGTCTTCATAGGCTTTCTCCAGTCGAGATTGCGTTGGTCGGAAGTCTTTCCCACGGATCACGATAGGTTATCCGTTAAATTTCACCGCAGATATTCGGCCTTGTCTTAGGATTCTAGACGAGGTCCCTATTGGCTATAGGGTACTCCGGAGGTTAGTCGAAAGTGGACATGCGGACGTGACTTTCGCACATATCCGGGATCAGAGAGAGTGGTATCTGCGTCCAGCAATGAACGATAGTCTCCCCGTTAGACTTTGTGACCTGAACCCCCACTGGAAGTCGAGGCCTCAAAGGCGTCCATGCTTTAACAACTTCCGTTGTATCCACGAGCTAAAGGCCACCCAGAGCGAGGCTATTCCTGCCGCACCTGAACTCACCGCGTTGCTGTCCACTCCACCACACAAGTATCTGCCCACGTTGGACAGAATCTGAGTGGCGTCTTGCACGGTGTTGAGAGGAAAACAGGGTTACCATTCTTGTTATCATTGATTCCTGCTAAACCCGTCCGAGCTGACTGCGCACACCAGTTGTGTTGAGATGGGCACGTTGGTATGCTACGCACTTTCTAAACTCGGCCGGTTTGAAAAAAAAGTAATTATTGCCCTCTACCTCCCCTCCACTTCACTACTATTTGCATAGATATTTCAGTCCATTCGATTGCAATCGATCGCTCAAAGGGTGTGACGACTCTGTCTTGCCGTCAAGTTGGGCAGCGATGAGCGAGCACGTGCATGATCATAGGCATTTTCAACTGCTCTATCCAGAACGAGTAACATTCATCGAGGCGATTGTGAGAGACGCTATCGATGCATTTTTATCCGACGGGGATGTGGATTGCATGAAATCCACGAATGAGAATCACGAAAGTTGAAACTGAAGACTTCTATCTCAGCCGTCACCATCATCACAGACCGCACTCACTCTCTATTCCTCTCATCATCAACTCTGTACTATCTGACGGAAGGTAGTGTTCTTTTCAACGCAGTCACGAGTTTTCCTACCCTTCCGGTCACTAAATTCGCCCTCTAATCACAGAGGTATTTCGAGCTTAGCTTTGAAGCCCTGTTTTCATAGGCAAGCTTCAGTAAAGCATGAGTATCTGACATTTTGGCGGGACTGAGTAAACGACTGGCAGATGTGAAGTTTCAGTCTACAACCGATGGATTTCACCAAGAACCATTAAACCCATCGGTGCCTGGTATGGTCTTACACTATTATCACCACATGTCTTCCAGATATCGTCAACCCGATGTTTACATCGTAGGCCACACGACGTCCCGACATCATCCTTGTACCTCACTCTACAAGGATGCCGAAGACTTTGGGATTATGTAGAACAAGAATGTTTTGCTCCTTAAATCCCAACAGCAACGACCGTCTCCCACTAAGTGTAGGATTTGTCAGCAGTATGATTACTACTTCCAGCCAGACATCTCTCGCAGGTCGTAAGCTCTTATTAGTGGATGGGATCAAGAGGCTCTCTTTTTCAGGTCCTATCTACGGAGGTTCGGTTTAGGCAGCTCTCTTCTAAGTAAGCGTAACATATCCGTTCGCTCTCGAAGCACATATAGACAAGTTGCAGTTGCTTAAATGTACAACGAAGTGTACCTTCATGGAAATAGTCAGCCAGTCAGGCTTCTGAAGCGTAAGGACGTATCCAGTAACTCCACATTACAAACTTTATATTCTGCATGATCAGGAGCGTAGTGTGATAGTTGAGAAAAAAGCAGAGGTGAACGGGATCCAAGTTACAGCCCATTCATTTTCATTCCTTATTGCTGTAGAATTCAGATGGATCGTGGTAAAAAAAGTCCCGCGCCGAAGTACAAACTGTTCCGATCACGCTTATCATAATCCAACGACTAAATATTCTATCCAAACATCCTGCTTCAAAACGGCCAGGCAGGTGTCCACGATCCTGATATCCGTAACTGATCCCTGTTAAGACTAACTCACGAGAGGCTGTTGTTTTCAACTACCTATCCAATGATGAATTTCCAGGACGGAGACGAAGTGGAGGACTAGTATACAATGCGTTCAGTCACTGACCGTATAGCTAGTGCTCACATAGTAAGACTAAGTTGGGTTGACAGGCCAGACATTCGAGTAATTCCAGATGAAAGGAGAGAACGCTGGTTGCTTGCCGTAACTACAAAATGAGGCTAAAGAGGACCTCGTGTTTTGGAAAGGTTGAGTACGGATGTACAAAGTACTGTATTTTAACAGATATAACTGGTTCATTATTCAGATGAGTAAATAAGCCTGGTGGCAAGCATTGATGAGTAGGGTACAAAACTCTGCGTGCATGACGAACGACGGATTGTTGTCTTCTAATCGTTTTCCGCCGTTATTGGTAAGTCATCGTCATTGTAGATGTTCTCCGCCTGCAGAAAATAGATGAACAAATAGTGATGTAGACTACAGTCCACCAAGAACATGAGCTACTGAAAAATTACCCACTCAAGATAAGCAAACCAAACATTCTACTGTAGATACAAGAATGAACTAACCATCTGCCAGACTTGCAATATGTTGTCTTCGGACACCGAACAAATAACCCAGGCATCATTCGGATTCCAAGAGAAGTCAGAAATCTTGGCTGTATGGCCACCGTGAATGAACAGTAGCTCAGGGGGTCCGTCTTCAGCTTCTTCAACCGTCTGCTCCTCACCGATTTTGCTCAAATCCCACACATGAAGGCGACGATCGGTACCCGAACTGGCCAAGATGGTTTCATGGTGCGGTGACCATTGAACCTGGAAGCAATCAAAGCTGAGGTCAGCCATAGGTTGAAAAACGCATGCGAACAGATCCAAATGCCAACGTTTGCTTTTAAAAAAACTTTCAAGAAACACCTTCCATAGTGAAGCACTACTCTTGTTCCTTGCAACTATCCTGATATTGTTTGGCGGGAAACTAAATCCCCATAAAATGCGTGAAAGTACGATGAAATCAAAATTCTGACAGATTATTTCCGACGGAAAAGACTTAGCCACCACAAACCAGGTACTGATTGCTGAATAGTAGTGCGTCTGAAACAAGTTTGAATGCACGTTGCATTTGGCCACCAGCAATGGTAGTCGAACTGCTCAGTTAGTACACAGCACAGTAACGAACAGAGCACGGCCCGAAGCAGCCATCAGATTAAAGCGAATATGTGAAATGGACGCAGGTCGTCCGTCATTTTTGGTGGTATAAAGGCGGTACTAGCAGGGAGGGGTAGTACACCAAGGAGAATCAAAAGCGGTTGGTGAATTCCGTGCCCGGTCTGAGAAAAAAACTTTCAAGAAACACCTCTCCATAGTGAGCACTACTCTTGTTCCTTGCAACTATCCTGATATTGTTTGGCGGGAAACTAAATCCCCATAAAATGCGTGAAAGTACGATGAAATCAAAATTCTGACAGATTATTTCCGACGGAAAAGACTTAGCCACCACAAACCAGGTACTGATTGCTGAATAGTAGTGCGTCTGAAACAAGTTTGAATGCACGTTGCATTTGGCCACCAGCAATGGTAGTCGAACTGCTCAGTTAGTACACAGCACAGTAACGAACAGAGCACGGCCCGAAGCAGCCATCAGATTAAAGCGAATATGTGAAATGGACGCAGGTCGTCCGTCATTTTTGGTGGTATAAAGGCGGTACTAGCAGGGAGGGGTAGTACACCAAGGAGAATCAAAAGCGGTTGGTGAATTCCGTGCCCGGTCTGAGGATACCATCGGGTGACACAACGGTGTGATGGGCACGAATCGATATGTTGTGTTCAGTAAGGGGTTGCCTGTATGTGATGAAATACGAATATGGATATATCAGCCCTAACGACAGCACAGTGATGGATGGATGGGTAGCGCCCCGGAGCGATCGGTCGACAATGGGTTTCACTACTTAATGCTCAATAAGTGAGCGTCAAGCATTCGTGGTCGGTAGCGTTTAGATACCGAAGGTATAATAAACTTGAGTAGTGTGCGTAGGTCCTGTGTTCGGGTTTCAGAAATGCAGAGCTATCAAGAGCTTGCTTAAACTTCAGGGAAGCGAAAGCGACAGCAATGTGCTTTTAACCAGTCGCTTCCACAGGTGGGAGACCAGATGCCAACAGGAGTTAAGACATAAGAGTGAAGATATGCATCGACGGTAGCTCGGTTCTGCCTGGGCGCCATGCTGTATATAGCGAACGAGTGACCAGACTGATGACACCAAGCTATGGCCGAAGTAACAGGAAATTATCATGGCTGTGTGCAGGCTGAAACGGTACTAGGCGAAGGAACGGGTAGAGCCCCAAACCAAAGCCTTTCGCTTAAAAGCCTGACCATAAAGCAGTAGTTCACGCAACATTATTTTTGTTCACTTCCCACGGAACAATACGTCCCACTTATTCCGACTCCCAGCTGGAGAGTCAAGAGTCTGTATTGGTCAGACTTCCAACAAGTCGCCGGTCTGATAGGAGTGTCGCACAGCCAATTCCCAGAATAACGCATAAAACGGTCACCCCATATTAGGATCGTCTTTTCAGCTTAACAGTGAATGAATGCCCGGAACTTTCGCACTATAGCAAGACATTAATTGAGAAGGATGGAAACCTAACAATGACCGATTACATGGACATCAAACGTGGCTTACCTGGAATATTTCGTCCTTATGCGACTCGAACGAGTGAAGCTTCATGTGTAGGCTTCTTAAATCCCACAAGGCGACCGTGCGATCAGCACTGCCTGTGGCCAAGATGTATTCACTAAATGGATTGAATGACAAGCAGTTGACCTCAGCTAAGTGAGATTCCACCGTATGACTTGGTTTGGTTGTACATCCACTTCGAGTATCCCAGATCATTAACTTTTTGTCATCAGCAACAGATCCGAATATGGATTCATGTAATGGGTGCCAACTAACGTCTTCTACGACACTCGTATGTCCAGTGAATATGGTCTTCGCGTCAATGATTCGTCCCTCCTTCGGAGTCGCATTGATATCCCACATACAAATAGTCTAAAAAGAAGACGTCTATCAGTCATGATTCTATTGAAAGTCAGGATTGCCCTTGAAGAATCAGCTCTGGTTAATTAAAATAACAGGATGATGGGCTCGGTGATCATTGATGCCGAAAAAGCATTATTTTCAACTCAGAGCCTTACCCATCGTAATTACAGTCAAGTTGTACAAACAACTGCTTTAAATGCTTGAATCCCAAAGATGATGGAGTGTTGGATGGATAAAGTCTGCAGAATTTGGAGTATTCTTAATCCTGTTTGAGTGTCAGCGTACCAATAGGCTATATTCGGTGAACTACCGCGCAGGAAAATACCATTGACCAATATTGTGGAACGACATAAAATGACCAAATCATTTCAAAAACAGGTTGCTCCCTAAAGTAACAAAAACACTAGCATGAAGATCGCTTACCAGCTTACCAGGTTTAAGGGAATCAGCTGAGTTCGTGTATGTGCAGTTCGCTCAGCGTTCAGTGCAAGACTGGAGAAGGCACATTGTTCAGAGCCCTGGTGCATTTTTTCCATACAGTCATTTTCTCAGCTCCCCAGAGGTGTCTGCTTTAGCCCGCGATATGTTCTTTTGAGAAAGCGCAATCAACTGACATAAAAAGCCTCCAAAGAACAGAGATACATCTAAAGGATTTCGGGTTTTGAATTACCTCATGTCATAATAATAATAATAATAATAATAATAATAATAATAATAATAATCGTTTAGCCACGGCCCCCTTCCGGTGCATAGCTGCCGCGCAATCCGAAAGAAGCATGACGGCTGAGATACTGCCAGGTTTTCCAAACCTAGACAGGAGCAGTTTAGTGCCGGGGTTGGGTTCGGACCACGGACCTTCCGTTTAGTAAGTCTGCCCATTAACCATTGAGTTACCCCGAGCCCATAGTACCTAATCAAAATTTGAAGTTGTATACAAGATTTATTCAGATAGCTTTCCATCTCTAGAATGAACCCAGCAACGCAGTAAGGCTAGTTTGCACGTGTAACAACCAAAGCGAGCAAGGTGACATGTGTGCATAATTACATTAGAAAACAGTGGCTTAACTCACATGATCATCTGAAGCAGAGAGGAGATACCCATTCAAATTTGGGTTCCACGAGAGCCCGTATCCCTCTTTCTGATGGCCACGTAACCGTAATTCTGGCTTGCAAACACCGGAGGGATCAGGTTTGCTTGGGTGTTTGGTGTAATCAAACACGAGTACGTCCGAACTAGGGGTTTTGGTAGCAATCACACACGGGTTTTGGGGCATATATCGCGCACGATTGACCTCCCCCTCGTGGTTGATTTTTATGTTGATATCAATTTTTCCGGACACCGCACCGAACCCCCCGAATTCTGTTAAGAAAACAGGGGGTTGAAAGTGACAATGAATTCAACTTGGAATAAAAAGCAGCAGTTATTCGATATGCAGTTTCGTCTCTCGATAATTCAAATAACGACTACCGCTCTAAGATCGTGTGAATTAAGTGAACCGATCGCAAGATATCGGGTGTTCATCCTTTCATAACAGGATTACCTCCGAAATGCTGGGATTCTTTGCCGGGATTCTTTAGGCCGCAGTGTAGGGTGAGTACCAAACTGGAAACACCAGTGTTCAACGCTGATGCTTCGCCGCCGTATAACTATAAGTTAATCGAAGTGGATGAGGAAGGACCTAGCCTGCCACAATCATTCTGAACTCATTCAGGTAACTTGGATAGAAGCTGAAAACGAGACCACCATGGACATCTTACAGCATCTACAGCCAAGCACAGGGGAAACACACGGACCCCATCCTGGTAGGCGAGTCGTAAGAACACCACTCAAACTTTTCATAATATCCTTTATACCTATCTGTTAGGTCGAAGTTTGGCCGCTTCTCTGCTTGGCACTCCTTGCGAAATGACAATTAGGCATCCGCAATACATGGCCCAACTACCACAGCTTCTGACGCTGGATACATCCTTCGACTGAAATCCCCGTAGCACAACCAAACAGTCGCTTACTAATTGCCTCGTTTCGGGTTCGCTGATATCAGCTTACGTGAGTCATGGTTCTGGGACGGAGACCTGAAGACTTGAGTTCCGCTGCTCAAAGAGGTCATGTTCCACAGCTGCACAACAAAACCATATTGTAGCCCAATACACACCATACCTTGAGATTTAAGGATATGACGCTTTGCTGCCACAGGTATCTCAAACTAGCAGAATTGATCTGAACCTTAGAGATTCGTGCATTAAAATTCATCTGTCACACTACAATCTGAACTAATACAACCCCGAAAATACGTAGAACGCTCCATAAATTCGACTACCTTTGGTCGTAGGTAGCGTGCTTAGTGACTGCAGATCCACAAGCATGATCGTACACTTTGCGGGCACAGTGTGTGCAAGAGATCTTTGAGAGCCCCCGTCTCCTATACTCACACGCCGATATCTAAGAATACAAAAAAAACGTATCGTCTTCAAAAGATTCAAGCAGTGCCACCATTCTGTCTAATATTGAACGCTTCAGCGGAAGTGGTAGCACCGTGCCACAGATAAAACTCCCGGCATAGTTCAAAGGTCTCCACCAATTGACATCAGACGGTGTGGCAAATGGAAGAATCTAGTGATTCCAACCAATTCGCCCAAATTCGGTATCTATCACCCTGTCACTAAGCGATTTGTCCTTACGCAATTCTGGAAATTGAAGAGAGAAAGGATTCCTAGCAAGCGCACGGTCAGAATGCATTTAGGTGTTCCAAAATGAGTTGCACGCTATAACTGACGGGAAGGTGATCAATTTAAATTCATGGCTTGCACGCTGACTTGCGGTCAGGCTTTATTGCCCAAGGCTTAGGTCGAGGACCCTGATCGTCCATGTATCTACGTTTGGGCACTCTGGCAGTGCACTAGTCCACGTTCAGCCACGAGGTGCACAATGACAAATCATCTCATGCCACATCGGCCGTGACATGGTGTTATCATTTGGGTTACCTTATCTGCTCTATACAGCAGGGCGAGTTAGCAAAAAACAGACTGCCGTTGATGCTTCCCTTTCATTCTCTTTAACATACTTTATCCTCCTTGTCTCTCCACCCCATTAATAGCTCTCGCCTTGCAGGCCCACCAGTTAGGACTGATGGCTCCATTCATTTGCATCAGTTTTGCATGCAATACCTGCGCTTCATCCGGCGCTGACATCCTTAGGCAGCCTGAAATCAAGCCTCAACGCCCGGTCTATATGCCTGCTTTCAACGTCCACACTCTTAACCACGCTCATGCTCTCACACTGGACTCTTTCGACATTGATGTGTCGAAAACAAGAATTCAAGAAGCAAGCACAGTGGTTTTACGGCAGTGGAGCATCAGTGTTAAATACTGATGACGACGATGGCCAGAACGTATTCAGTGTACGTAGATCCACAATCCATGCCTCAAGTTTTGGTGGAAACTCCTTGGAGAGGTAGGTGTGTGATTCTCTTGCCGTGGTAAAACGATAAGTCGGTCCTGGGTGAACTTGTCATCTTCCAAGATGATGCCACGAACAGTGGCTACATATTCACTTTAGTATTCAAAAGCTGACCGACAGAATCATATGGTACAAGAATTTATAGCTGCTCACTTGATGGCCCACAAAAAATGTCAGAACAGACTGACCGCTTGCAAATCTATGGACCTAAGCTGGATGCTTCAGTCTTAGTCGTCAACAAGCAATAAACGAAACAATGGGCACAGACGAAGTGAATTGAAAGGAAAATTCCCTTATACATTCCAGAATAAACTTACCGCCACGTTCGACATCGTAGCTATTTGGATCGAACTGCGCATCATCGTTGGGCATATGGACGCTTGCGATAAGTAAGTGATTCTGCTCATCAGAAGTATGGGTTCCAAGTATCAGTCGGTGGATCGAGTAATCCTTCCCCTCAGGTCTGAAATAAGCGAAATGCCGTCAAAGGGGAATAAAGTGACAAAAAGGTCACAACAAACTGGAAAAGGAAGAGTGTAGAAATCACCACAGCATAGTCAGGCGGCCATAAATGACAGCAGTGTAGTGTGCTCCAGAAATTTACCCGACATCATGTATGGCCGAGAAAACACCGAAAACTACAGCTTGGTATTAAACCGAATGGTCCGAAAAGTAAGGCTATCATCTGCTTCGTGTGTACGGTCATTAGATCCGCCATCAGCTGCATCGCAATTTAAAAAAACCTGGCAGAACAAAGAAAGTCCACCCCCTCTGCTGAGGAGCCAAACTAACCCCCTCCCCTGCTTTCATCGCCACAAGATCGTGACATTTGGTGCGCGGCTGTACCATGTGCTTTGACAACCGATAAGTCCTGTCTCCAGTCCTAATAAGGGAGATGACTGTTCACTGCATGGGCAACTCTGCCAGTTATGGCTCTCATATATCGAAGTGGATCTCAGGATCACCTGTAGAGCTCTCGACCCGGTGTATGTCTCAAAAACGCGTTTCTACCACCCAAGAAGATACCTGCTTACTCGGTGAACGAACAGTAAATGAACAGACAACCAATGATTACACTTTCATCCATTCGCGCAAAGTGTCTTACGTTGACGATTACTGGTCTTACCGAGATTGTGATAGTGAAAGGTCAGATCTTACACTGATTCGCGCAGTTCCAGCTGCACCTAGAAATCCGTCAAAGACGCCACCTTTCCCTAAACTCTTGAAGATGGAAGTATTGAAGCACACTCAACAACGACGCATAATGGCAAACGTTATCGAAATCAACTCCAAAGCTATTGAAGTCAGACCTGAAAAGTCCCCGGATTCTCCAGGAAACGGCTGTTCGAACTGAAGGCACCCACTTAACAAGCGGTTTTAGCACAATTTGATAACACCTCTGATCCTTAAAACGACAATCTGCGAGCGCATATCACGTCTACCCTCACTTCCAAAAGGTGTCCAGTTAGACAACTCACCAGAATTCCACGACAGGCGCAAACAATATCGGATGAGAACGGTGGAAAACGTTCAGACAGCTGACGATGAAGGCAAATATAAAAAACCCTTATCGCTGATTCACTATGCTAAATTTAAATTTCCATCCAGTTTTCCGACGAACTACTGCTGCATATCTCACGGAGAGCTCAAGGCAGCTCAGTAGTTATGACATCACATTTGACTACACTGATCACAACCTCCTGAGTCGGATTTCCTAGAGCAGCAGATAGACGGATAAGGCTGAGGTGGTTGGGTACGTATTACGCATGACCGATCAACATTCACCAAAAAACCTTGATTTATATCCACAAACCTTATTGACGAAAAGTCCGCGGATGGGTCATGACAGCAACGTGAAATGAAAGCGGATACCGCTAATTTAGCCATAATTTATAAACGACAGCGACGCACTAGTGCTTATCTGTCATACAGTTGAGGAATGAGAGCCTTAGTGCGAAAAACCCTAAGTGAGATTAAATCGCCCACAGTGTGTGTAGGGTTAAAATAGACACATTTGAGCATGCTGTTGAAGTGGGGCACCATCAATGCCATTGAATCACCAGTCGACATAAACCCGGCCCACAAATACAGGCGAAATCTAGCTACGTAGCTGGGGAAACGATGGCATGTGCACCGACTTCATTCACGTTATCTTGTCACAGCCTATCTCTCGCAGTCTACGCGCCAACAATCGCCCGGAACAGAAGACAACGCTTTCTTCGGTAGTCGGCGATTGGGTCTATGGGATACATGCCCTAAACATATGAACCTGATAAGCTTAATCTGCTGCTCTAACGATCCGGATTCTTTACCACATTCTCGTTACGGAATCGTTGCAATGATATGGAGGCACTGGTGATCAAGACATCTAAAATTCTCGGGTCGGATGAAACCTCGAAACCATGCAGCAAGACAGCTCTTCCAGTTTTGTATACATCGAGCCTCTGCAGCGCACGCTATAAATTGTCAGAATATCTGTCATGTGGCCACAATGCTCTGAAGTGGTTTGTCTTGTGCAGGGGTCGACGAACATCCTTCGTGAAGAGTAAGTCGTTCTTAGTTACGCCTTGTCAAGGTTTGGTGTGATGAGGTCGTTGGGGCAAAATACAGACCAGTATAGTGTTTTCTGTAGACTTTAGACGCCATTGGGTCACTTTTGGGTCCCCTGTCTCTGCCCTTTAAAGAGAAGGCGGTTGGCTTATTTCTTCGGCCTGTTTTCGTATCCGTCTCGAAGAGACAGGACCTTACTGTGGTGTGGCGATGTGTGTCTGGGCGACCCATTGAGCTGTCGATCTTCAGTAACTTTGGCAGTGTCTGGTGATCAAAGGTGTCCCTTCCAAATTCGTATCCAATATGAGGGCACTGTATGCGAACTGCTGTGAGCGAGTACGAGAAGCTCCCGCCTGAGTTCACCAAGTTTAGTGGTGCAAGACAAGGCTATACTCTCTCACCATTCCCATTCAACTTTGTTATTGATATGTTGTTTGAAATTTCTATGCCGGGAGTCGAAGTGCTCCCAGAACGTTCCCTCACAGACATTCAGTATGCAGACGATATTGCTCTGCTTGCTTCAGATTCTTCCCAAGTGCAAACGATTTTAACTAACCCAAATAACTGCCGCACGGTTTTGCATGCGTTACACACCTGCAAAGTGTAAAGTGTTGCTACAAGACTGGGTGGGATCGAACCCACATCAATGGCTAGAGACACTGTCAGACATGGCCCAGTCGCGCCCTCAATGGCGCTCCCCCCCCGCCCCAATCGGCAGCTACAACCATTGTACGACGAGTACGCGGTTATTAGAGCTGACAATGATGATGGGATCAGACCCACAACTCATGCTTGCAGGTGAGCCAATCAACGTAGTGGATGAATTTGTTTACCTGAGCAGCTGTGTCAGTTCCGCTGGACTGGCTGGAGATGAGATTATTTCTCGAGTCGGAAAGGCCAGAACAGCTTTTGCTAACCTTCGACACCTATGGCGCCGCAGTGACGTGAGTTAGTCTGTCAAGAAAAGAGTTTGCATTGCGGCAGTGCTATATGGATCAGAGACGTGGCTCCTACGTGCAGAGAACATACGGAAGTTAGTGCTGGATCATCGGTGTCTCCGAAGCATTGTTGAGGTCCGATGGGAACATCAGATTAGTAATGCTGAGGTACGCCAAATAGTCTTCGGAAGAAGGAAATCTGTCACGATAAACGAATTACTCACGTTTCATACGTTGCGTTGGCTGCGACATGTGCTCCGCATGTCAGAAGATTTATATACCTGCTTTATCTGAGAGGTCACCTGGGGCTGAATTACCATTCTTGGTATGTCACTATTGATGCTTGTAACTTGAACATGATATAGGTTATCAGTCCTGAACATCAGTCGCTATCCTGTCTACAGTATCGACCGGAGGCTGCCGAGAATAAGCGACTGGTGCAATACGTCCATGATATTCCACTTCAGGCCAGAGGCTACCGAGAAGTTTATACAGGTCCACTGTTGATTGAGTCCTTTGATGGCAAATCAATAGCATTTAAATACCGAACACTTCAAGAGTCCATGTTCACCTTTGCCTACCTAGAAGCCTATGCAGAGAGCGTGCGCTCGTACATGTGTGAGGGACCTATTTTCAGCGTCTGCTGGAGGCGACCACTGTCCTGGGCAGGCTGATATCCTTAAAATGGCGAAATCAATGGTAGATTTTGGACGGTTCCGTCAACCTTATATCAATAACCACTATTCCATCCCATTGATCCAAACCGCATACAAAGAACTCTCAGGGAGACAATTGGATGCTCGGTGATATTCCATTGAAATGAAGGGCTATGGTCATGTGTAACCCACAGTATTCAGACCGCGACTTACTTTGACAGCCCATCGCATGACGGCAAGCGTGGCCAGGTCACCTGTTTAGTGGGAATGGCAGCAGCTATAAGCGATAGAAGCCCTGATGAAATAAAGTCAAGTCCCTTGCGTAAACAAACTCCAAGATTTTGATGTGAATATGATATCGTGCCGTAACCAAGAGACTGAACCTTAACGTGGTGACGGTTTGTGTGACTCCTTGACCCATTGAGTTATACTGGAAGTATCCCTGCGATACTTGCAGGGTTTATCAGGTTTGTCAATTATTAGAGTTCTGACCAACAGTCCCCTGGTCTTCCAGGTTGGAGGTTGAAACATATGTGGCGACGTGTTCTCTAAAAAAATACAGTGAATTGGTATTTTCTGTCAACCACCAGTGCCTTGCGATCAAGCTTTTAAGCCGAAGGCTCTGGTTGAGGACGAACGTTCTTCTGTCTAGGTCTGGGCGTTCTAACAGTATCACAGCCCTCTCACGGTGAACCATGTCCTTGACAAAGAGGAAAATGGTCCCATCAGGCCGGCAGTACGACTTCACGCGATTTCTGAAACGGTTTCCGATTTGCAAGCTTATTCCGATCGGGAGAAACGGTGGCTAAGAAAAAATCCGAAAAGTCGAAAAGACGACAGCGATTGGGTGTAATCGAACGTATTTCCAACATCTACACTACCGAGCCAAGAAGACCGCTTAAATAGTCAAGCTATTACAGGGGGGACGGCTCAAAAGTCCATTTCAAATCCTGGCACCTGCTTTTGTGAGGGGGCATTTCAAATAACGGTTTGGCTGGCCTGAGGTACTCAGCACACCACCAGCTTTATAATGGGATGTCAACCGCTCGATCCTAACAGACAAAAAAAAATCAAAAACCGAAGTGAATATTCGCAAGGGAACAGCAGCCGGTCCTAGATATTTTTTACCTAGACCTTGTTTGGGGTTGATGAGGGAGGAATTGTCCACTGTCTAAAAAATTCAAAATCGTTTGAAAAGCGAATGAAATGACGGAAGAACGGCCGCTACCCACTGCTGCTTGAAAAGATGTTATATCTCAATGTGAATCACTGGGATATCCGTCACCATCGTTTCCAAGTTGCTAGCCGGTATTATCCCCACTGGCAAACGGGAGTCGTGAAAAGGGATAAATTCCTCTCGGACCGCAGATGCATTGACTGCACCTTTAACTTTTGAAAACTTCCCGAAAAACACAAATTATTAACAATTGTTCTCGTTCACACGTAGAAGCCTTTTTCAACTCAACCACTCGCGTTGCTTTTAGGCGATCTTCTCAAACAATTATGTCATTTCCAACCTTTACATTTCAACATCTATGGGCGCGAGTGTACGGAGTATTCTTTTGAACTCACCAAAAATCTTTTGCCACAACGTTTTGTCAGCTCTACCAAGGTCGTAATCGAGTTAATTATCCAAGAGAGGTTTGTTGCATTTTCTGGCCCAGAGCTTCGTCCCGGAAGCCCCAAAGACCTGAAGTATGCTTAGGGTATTGCGCTACTTAGTTCACATCCTATCCACAGACAAAACACTAGATGATGTGAATAATGTCACCATAGGATAGGGCATGAGCTCTGAGCTTTCAAAGTGCAGGGTGCTGATACACGAGTGGATAAGTGCACCGCCAAAGCTGGTCATGGCACAAGAGGCACTAGGAATAGTGAATAAGTTTATCTATCTCGTTTGTTGAAACATGATGGATGGCAGCATTGCATGCAAAGTAAACGCCGGAATCAGCAAAGCCCACTCTACCCTTCTTTAGCTTGGTCGCCTTGGAGTTCACGTGACAGTAGTCTATCGGTGAAAATCGGCAGGGTTTACGTGATAGTGTTTCCACTGTTGTTTTATGCCTACGAAGCCTTGCCAATGTGGGTTGAGGGAAAAACATTTTTCGTGTGTGATGAGCGTCATTCCAAAGCATAGCATGTGCATCACGGAAACACTAAGTTAACAATGCTGAAGTGCGACGAGTGGTTTTTGGCAACAAACCAGTTGCCCGTCCACTTTATCAGTTGAATCGGCTGCACCAACTACATTGGCTGGGCCATGAGCTCCACATGCTAAGTGATCGAATGTCACGCTTGCTGTTAGGTTCTGACTAGTAGATACCTCAAGAACAACGGATGACCTTTAGACGAAGCATGAAAAAACATAACAGAGGACTTTGTCTACACTGGTGCACCTCGTTCGCAATGTCGGAATATCAGAGACCTACAGCATCGACGGCTGGAGGTGGTTATCTGCATGGTGATGTCACAATCAGCGGCGGCGTTGTATCACTAGGCGTTGTATTCACTAGGTCTTAAGAACTTACTCGCTCTTATTTCGTTATGTTCTCCTGTAACCCTTCCATCCTACACTGTCCACTGTCGCAAGCTATGGCGACCTGGATCACCACGCGCACACATTGTTCACAGTTGTCAGACTGAAATGAACAGGACTATTTGAGCATCACTGTCCTAAAGTACTGGCCTTAGAAGGTTGGCACTAACCGACCACCGAGGTGAAACTGGCAGCGCCAGGTCATTTAGGGATTGCATTGGACAGGTCGCCGTAGCTCGGTCATGAGTTGCGCATGTCTAGTTATCCTATATTAGTGTGATCGTTGAGTTGTTTGACTGTTTCAGATAGGCGAAATATGACCTGATAGAAGGGAAACGAGAGATATTACGATATTTTTGTTTCGGCTGGACCATGAAAACCACCCAGCTGGATGATGCCGTTGTCCCGAAGGAATGCTTGGTTCTGAGATCCAAACTACAAACACCACATGCTTAGGCTGCAAAACGTCACACCTGTTAACTTATCTAGGTTACCACTGAAATCCTCTGTGGAGGTCACCCTTCAGGCACAACATAGGTTAGTTCGAGGTTCAGAAATCCTACTGATAGCTAAACGAAAAGTTTACCCTTCAAATTTAGCACGAAACATCTGCGGAAGTCTACACAGGACGAAGGTATGGCATGAAACAAGATAGGTATTCCAGAAGGAGCACTGCAGCCGGCAGCGCACGGTTGTATGGTGGACTTGGCTTCACAAGTGCTCAGTCGGAGGAAATCGGTTGCCAAAATCCATCGACTGTATCTGAACACGACACTAAAGAAGAAAATTGGTGATCAGTACAAAGTTGCAGGCGTTCACTGTTACCATTAAACCTTCCGTATAAAACAAATGCCCCACCAACTCGTTATTCAGATGAACTGAGACGCCCTGCTTGTGCGTAGAAATCTCCAGTGGTCGATACCATTTGAACTGTTCAAGAGGGTGAACAATGCTCGACGGATCTCCCTGAATCAGAGCTACGAGTAGTTAGTGAATAAACTATGAATAAGGGAAGATTATGTCGGCCGATTGAAACTTCACGGTAACAGGCAGGTGGACAGCACAGAGATGTCCAATCAGGTAAAACAACCTAATCTCCGAAGCCAAGAGCCATGACAACACCGGCAAATTTAGCTGTAGAAGTGAAGGAGTCCCCTGAAATTCACAGCCGATAGCAAACAGGTGCCGTAAGCTCCAGCAATGTATGTGCATGTACTCCGATTTCGGTAGTGCAGCAAAATATTAGAAGTGTCAAAAATTTGCACGAAAATAGTTCGTCGGTCGGTTTGCCCAGATTTCGGAAACTGAAGACCGCGGTGAAAAATGACTGGACACTGTCTGATTACTGACAGTGGAGCGGCGTGTGAGCGGTGGCGTGAGATGGGGTACCTTTGTCGGTGCCTGACGGACGTACCTACAACCGGAATCTACAGAACTCTGATGAACAGATGGAGCCTGATGAGAGTTGAGAGTAAGGAAGAAAGATAGAAAGCACTAGACATCCATGTATTCGCTGATGGACCCTGTTGTATGAAGCGCATAAAGACCCAGTGTTTATCATCAGGGACCGCGGTGGTGCACGCGTTGAGATACTACCATGGGACGGGGTCAAAACCCAAGAGCGCAAATTACGAAGGATAATTAGATCCTCGACCTGGAACATATATGACGGTGTTTTCCTGGACGACTACCCAGAGTCACACGTCAACACCAGATCAGACCAACTTCGAAATCAACGCCTCTAAGTCTTCTCTACATCCTCGAAAAACACTGCACCATCGCCCATTTTAGTAAATATCGACAGGTGCCTGTGTTCCAACACCCCGGTTTCCGCATTTGATTTAGCAGTCCGATTAGGGGTGAAATAAGAATGCACATCGATGGCGCCAGAAAAATATCGCTCAGCTGTTACACCCTTTCGGTGCCTAGGTGTCATGCCGCCCGAAAGAAGCGCGTGGGTTGCCAGGTTGCCCAAGCCTAGATAAGGGAAGTCGAGATGAACATGTCGGGTTTGAACCACAGACCTTCGTGTCATTAAATTCGCCATCTCGAGCCTGGAAAACCCTTCTACAAATGAAACATACCTTGTGGCGTAGGTCTAGCACTAGCCTCAGAACCAAAATTTTGCGCCAATTTATGGATGCAAGACCCTGTCAGCACAATGCGCGGATAGCTAAACTGGGAATTTTCTAACACAAGCGCTGAGACTCAGGGCTAAAACAAGATGGGACGGTCGGGTTTCCATAGAACCAGTCCGAAAACGTTATCAAGGCGTATTACAACTGGCCATTCAAATCCAGCCATGTCGACTGAAATGATTCGGACAGGCGCTCCGCAAACCATATGACAAACTCTTGTGGAAGATCCTTAACCCAAGCACCAGTCGAGATTAGTTGCCGCCAGGCGATGTGGCAGAAGGCCTGGCTATCTGCTGTCAAATCAGATGTCAATCATCTTGACCTGTGCTCTGTCTACGGTGTCTGGCGCTTGGTTCCCATCAGTACAAATCGTATCCTATGGAGTTTTGGACTTATTCCCGAGTACGGGACAGCTGCAGTAAAAGTAAGTCGACCCAGTGAAATCTAATTCTCGGGCTTTAAATTTAAATAGGCCTCACTCGGACAAACCACAGGGATCTCCCGTATGAATAATAGGCAATGGGTCATAAACATTCACGATAAAGTAAAAGAGGAAACTGAACGAAGGTTTAACTCACCTCGTGACTTCAGGTAACCACTGTGCAGTGAGGCTTGGCCATTCCAAGGCATGGGTCATTACCATATCATATAAGAAAGGAGTGTTTTTCTTCCATATTTTATACTCTTCATTGATGACGCGCTCTTCAACACCATCTTCGTAGCCTACAATGCAGACCATGGGGAGTATTATCTGGTGAAGCCAAAAGGCGATTCCTATGATCACCAAAAAAGCGAGGGGAACAAAGGCCATACTAATGGAAACTGACAAAACGCACAGAATTGTGTGGAAACTTACATTTGAGAGAAGGGGGCAAAAGTTCGCCCATAAAGCAAAATTGACTAGTGAATGTGAATCACCTAAGGCGATCAGTTGGTAGTGGACAATCGAGGCAGAACACTGATTGAATATGGCTTGGGCTTTTGCTATCCACCAACATTCCGTCCTTTCCTAGGAGTTTACCACAGCACGATAAAACAGTATGGCAACTCCTTTGAGAGCCATTATTTCCAGAAAACCCAGACCTTACAAATGTAGCAAAAGTACACTTGTGCCAAAATTCACTCTGAGACAGGAAGGCACTCGACGTTGTGGAAGTTGTATTAGTTCTGATTCTAGTGTGAAAAATGAGGTCAATGCACGAATCTGCAAGGCTAACCTGAAACACCTGCGGAGAGTCATTAACGGGGTTGGGAGGGGGGAAGGAAAATTATGTGAAAGAGAGTGAAGGGAGACGTCAGTTGCAGTGTTTTCGCTTAGCCGCCCTGCTGTATGCAGCGAGTAAGAAGACCTACTGATGGCAGCACGCAACGGTAGCATGAGTTTATTTCGTGTATGTGTAGTTCAGGGCTGTACATGGGCTGGGATACTATCAAAGCGCCAACACCTAGACATGGGGACGATTAGAGCCCTCAAAAGCCTAACCGCAAAGCAGCTGCGTTTGGCGGGAATTATAAATGCAGTACCACTTCTACAAATTGCCACATGTTCCAAACCCCAACTTGGAGGACGAGGAGACTTTTCAGACGTCCAACCATTGAATGCGCCTCGGATTTCCGAGAAGCATTCGACTCGGTTGATCGGTCTGTTCTTGAGACGCTTGCCCACCAAGGAATGCCCCGGAAGTTTGCAAACATAATACGTTCTTTGTATTCTCAGACTTCCGGACGTGTGAGAGTGTACGGAGAG